CGACTACCTGCATGATAATTGCGACCGGGCAATAAACGCGCGGAAATACGCGGCGCGTTCGCCGCGGGAGTGTCGACTAGTCTGCGCAGGTGAGCGCAGGAAAAATGCGGGAAAAACGCGCGCGAGCGCTGAGAGCGGGCGGACTTACCTGAGAAGTAAGCATCGAATCTCCCTCATTGTGTCGTCTCGCGATTAAGCAATCGCCACATGTTTCGTCACCACCGGCGAGATTACTCTTCGGGCCGCTTCTTCGCGCGACACAGACGTGCGCTCCGGACACAGCAACGACGACATGAGCAATCCGGATCACATCGGCGGCCGATCGGTGGTGTGTCCGTCGTCGTTTTCATAAATCATCTCGCTGCTGCGTGATAAACAAATTGGGCCACTCGGTCCCGTTTGTGATAATAAGCGCCTCTGCGAGCGCTTTCTCCTCGATGAGTGTCAACAATAACTCACGCGAATATCGGAGAATTTAAAAGACCTTTAAAGGAATTTAAACTGCTCTCGCGTACTCCTGGTGAATTTTCAGCCGCCAATTTTCAGTCGTGGAAAATGGGACGGGTGAAATGAAGGGAAACGCACGCGAGTCGTCACTCTTCCCCGCGACTCCCGACGCTAGCGCGTTGCGTCACACGTGTCCTGGACACTTTGGCACCTGACCGCGCTTGAAAACACCCACACGTTATCGGCGACACGTTAGGCGCGAAGCGCCTCTCGGCGGCCTCTCGCTCTTGCCGTTCCTCGCATCCACACCGCGTGACGCAGGTAAAACGCAGGTACGTACGCTGTTAGTTGGTTGTCGGTTACGTGGGCAATTGCGAGAGGTCCGCTCTCTCTCTCTCTCTCTCTCTCTCTCTCTCTCTCTCTTTCTCTCTCTCTCTCTCTCTCTCTCTCTCTCTCTCTCTCTCTCTCGGTTACTCTCGGCACACGGGCTCCTTCACGGGATTCAAGACACCACGAGCACGTTATCGGAGCGCTGCCGGATACAATTAGAAGCGCGCGCGCGCGCGCGCGGTTGCGCTGCGAATCCGTGCGAACGCGCACGGACAAGACTCGAAATTAAGAACGACGACGACGACGACGATGACAACGACGTCGCGGACGAGACCTCAGAGAGTCTCGCCTGCATTATAATTGGCCCAGGTCTCCCAGCCACTCTCTCCTCTCTCTGTTACTCTGATAACAGGTTCTCCGGTTTTGGTGCACCGTTTCCAGCGGCGGCGGCCGTATCGCGCGCGCATGCGTCCGTCCCCTTCCCGACCCCGTGCGGACGTCCTCTTCTTTGAGAGGTCGTAAAGATAATGCCCACATGCTAGCCGGCAGCATCAGCACGGAAAATTTATCCAGATTCCATTTCAATGGAGATCGTTCGGTGCGATTAATTAACTCGACGCTCGGATCGGAGCGGCCATCATGAGGGCTGGCAAGCCCAGGGACGGCGGGCCCTATTGTCGTTGTTTACGGGATAACGTAGCGCGCCCGTCTCGAAGAATCGACACGCGGGGCTCCATTTACACAGGATAATTAGAGCGGACTTTTCATCGCTCCGACAATACGCGCGTCCGAAATCGGACGGGGATTAATTTACCCGGCGTAAACTGAAACGCGAAGCTGAAAGCGAGTCGTGCAATTAGCAAGTCGCATAATTTGCATAACATTGTTCGAGCACGTCAAACGCGCTTCGGATGATCTCTCTCTCTCTCTCTCTCTCTCTCTCTCTCTCTCTCTCTCTCTCTCTCTCTCTCTCTCTCTCTCTCTCTCTCTCTCTCTCTCTCTCTCTCTCTCTCTCTCTCTCTCTCTCTCTCTCTCTCAGGCATCTCGCTGCGTCTCTCGCTGTAGCGAGACGCACGTTGCGAGGAAATTGGGCTACGGGGTTTGCCTCAACAATGTGTCTCGCAGGATTTTGCGAATAATTTCGCGTTTCTGCGATATACTGAGGAAATATGGGGACGGTCCTCCTCCACGGGAGGACACTGAAAATCACCGAGACGACGACTCGAGACGAGTCGGACGCGTCGCGCGGTGCGCCCGGAGGAAGAGACGCGATTGTGCTTCGCTCTCTTTAAGTTAACTGCGAGCGGGTCAATTCGGCGGTTTCCCCCGTTCCAAATATCCTTGCCTTTACGATCCATAAAGGGACGAACCTCGCTTTTAGTGGCTATTACACGAATCCCCGGCTTGGCGTAACATTTACGGCTTATGCACCGTGTGCGGCAGTCGTTAAAACACATCGCGCGCGGTCCATATGTGCTCTCTCTCCCTCTCTCTCTCTCTCTCTCTCGGTGCGAGCCCTGTTTGCGTTTACGATTAGGCACATAACGTCTCGTCATTCTCCCCCTTCGCGATTCTCCCACCGATCCTCTTCCTCTCACCGACGATGTGGACGTTGCCGCATTGTTGCCGCCTAAGGGTTGAGAATCGAGTCTCGCCCCCCTTATCGCCGCCGCGTCGACTCTCTTGGAAGAACAAAAGCTCCGCGTCTTTGTTTTGTTTTTTTTTCTTTCTTTCTTTTTTGGTAACGGGAAATGCCCGGGGAATTCCCCGAGAATTCACGGCAATTTAGGAGCGATCCTCGTTCCAGCCTCGGCTTCCAAGTTTTCGGCGAAGCAAGGTGGTGCGCGCGCGTCGCGCACGATCCTTCGTTTCGTATTCTTTCGCGTATGAATAACGCGACGGCACACAATGTACGCGGCACACGAGGGAAATATATCACAGCGTGTCGGCTCTTTGAGAGAAGCCCCGCGTAGGCGCGCGCGCGCGCGTTCGAACTTCCCGTATCTTTTCAATGAGGATCCGAGCGACTTATTAGGTACCGACGGCGCAGAGAGGAACGCGATCACGCGCCCGTCTATCAAACGCTAGATAATCCAGCTCGTTTGGCTGGCACTGTGATCGCGTCGATTCTTCGCGCGCAATCTATTCATATATCGCGTGGACGATACGAGGCAGCCGTAAATGCCAAAAGTGAGACTCTCAGGCTACCTCGAGCACACATTTCTTTACGTAATATTTCCCCGAGTCGAAAATCACGATAAATTATTCGCTCGTACAACTCGGACTATAATTAGAAACAAACAGGAAACATTAGAGCGGACTCTCCGAGTATTCCTCGCTCTCGAGCCGAGAGAGCGGTTCGAGCTCTGTCCGAGTATCTTTTGCCGGAATTTATTGCGTCAACGAGTTGATTATCAAGGAGGCGGTCAGAATTTACGCACCTGAGCGATCTCGCGTACGGCCGAGAACGCTTTTTACGCTTCCTTCGTCAGCGTCTATGAATATTAATAAGGCTCCGGCGATCGACGAAATCCTCCGCGCGCAGCGCCGCTGTTGTGGAGAACATTATTTTTCTCTTCTCCTCCCCCTCCCCCTCCCCCCCCGTCCGTTTCTTTATTTTTTATAGAACGCGTCGTTACGTTGAATTCAGTTAATTACTCCGGATCGAATTTTGCCGGCGCGACGTAGGCGCGTTCTCGCCGGCCGACTCGGCGGCCTCGTGATCTCTCTCGTGACGGAAAACACAAATGGAAGCAGCAGAATTTCCCCGAGTAATGAGCGCAATAGTCCTGCGGCCGTCCTGCGTCTCTCGGCGGCGACATTTGTTTGCGTTTCCACCTCGGCTTCGGTAGAAAGCTCGCGTTCCCGCTGAAAAGAGACCGCAGGAAATCGCCTCTCGATACGTTGACCGCGCGCGCGATCGCGCGCGGCTGCTCGCGTGGCAGGAATTTCATCTCGCTTCCTCGATCTCCTCTCGTATGCACGTAGGTGCACGTGCGTATACGCGCGTAGCCGTCGTGCGTGTGCGTGTATCTGCGAGCTATCGAGGTGTAACGAGGACGCTTTTTGCGCGGAAATAATTACTCCTCGCAATTAACCGCGTATGTAATTAACTGATAAATTTTGCGTTAACTGCTCTCCATTACGCGCGTTCAAGATTGATCGGCCCGCGATCGGCCGATATTTAAATCAAAAGCAATTTATTGAGGCTCATATGTGCGGCGGGATGCCGCTTATAATGCTCTCTACTCTCATGCGCGAAACGCGCGAAATTGAGAGAGAGAGAGAGAGAGAGAGAGAGAGAGAGAGAGAGAGAGAGAGAGAGAGAGAGAGAGAGAGAGAGAGCCGTCTCGCGTCGGTTGCAGCAAAGTCAAGTCGCTCGACGAATATCCAACTACGTCACATACTCCGTACATGACGTGCTGCTGAGCGCGTTGTCCTTTGTTTATTAATCCATTATCCTCGGCAGCGCAGGCCGCGCAGGCGCACTGATGAAACAAAGAAGCGGCAATTGCGTCGCCATTACCGTCGCTCGACCGTATATGTTAATGCGAACACATGAGTGCTCACGGAATCGGAAAGGCGGGCCGGGCACTTGTATTACGCCGTAAGTCCTGTCCCCCGCAATCTACGTCGCACAAAATTATTCTTTATTGAAACCGCGCGCCGTAAATCAGTGGCTTGGTTATGCTCGATTAGCTCGCGTATTACGTCCGGAAAACGTATTATTACATTTCGTAAATCCGTCGCGGCGGCGCGCCGGCCGCGTTGCCGTTGAAATAGGAACCGTATACGCGCATACGCCCCGAGATAATTATCTAATATTATTTATTTACCGATTATTAGCCGCGATATGTACCGCTACGCGCCGGCGACGCCGTCTCTCGTTCAGCCCCTGCTCTCCCTCCCTCCCGCCCGCCCGCGGAGAATTCCATTAGAAAGGGAAACGTAACTGTTGTGTTTCGAAACTTCCGGTATAATTAACGCACAAGTCGGCGCGCGCAGGCGGACTTCTCTCACCCACCACGATTTCTTGCCTGCTTGCGCGCGGATGACATTAATAAACACCTATTACGGGACGACGTCACCGTCCCTCATCGTAAAATTGTTCGCGACGAGCAACGGGGCCGCGACGTGGGAAATTATCGTTTTAAGTCGCGGATCGTCAAGGCGAGAGAGGTGAAATTAATTCAGTGCGGCGAGGGACGCTCGCGACACGCGCGTTAATTAAAGGAATTATTTATTTGAGCACGCGTGTCATGATTATACAGTTTCGCAAGGGAACGGGATACGGGGTCGGCTCTGGAAAGCAGCCGCTTGCCGTTAATTTATTTATTGATTTCTTCCGGAGAGCATTCCGTAGAGAGAGGAAGTTTATATCGTGCGCACCGACGAAATGAGTCAGAGGGAACCGATCGTTACTTCACGAAGATAAATCCCATTTCGAAACTCGCGATCGTCGCGAGTGCACCTATATTAGCAACTGCTAATACGTGTGGACCGTGAACCCGCGCGCCGCGCAGCTTTTGTCGTATCGTAAATCACTCGAGCGTGAATGTCGATAAAATATCTCTATGCAATACGATATCGTATTTCGCGTAATGGCACAGATCGCGTGTGTTGTAATTGCGGGATCGTTTTTCAGCGAGCGCGTGTAGCAGGATACGCTTCTAGTTGCGCGCGCGCGCGCGCGCGATCTAGCTCGAATGATAATTATTCATACGCACCGATTAACTGATCATTGTATCTTATCCGAGACATTATCGATACAAGCAAGTATCGCGAGTAATAGGTTGATAATTATTAGCAGGTTGTCGGTCGCCGGTCACAGTCCCGCGTCTCGTTGCTCGACCGCGAGCTTCCCTAATCGCGACGCAAAGGAGCGATACGAATTGATTTGCCGTCCATGTCCTCGTGCAGAGTCAATCCCATCTCTTGTAGCACAACATTGTCCACCACACCTTCCCTCCTACAGTGTCTGATGATCTCTTGATTCTCGGGGTTGCCCTCGCACAGATTTCTCAGAGCAAGTATGCTCCATTGTAACATAACTGTGTGGAAATTGTCAGTGAAGAAAAAATTATAGCGAGAGAGAGAGAGAGAGAGAGAGAGAGAGAGAGAGAGAGAGAAGAGAGAGAGAGAGAGAGAGAGAGAGAGAGCTGGAGCGATAAAGTCGGCTGAAAGTGGACTTACGCGGATTCCTCGCGTCTATGTTACAGCAATCCAAAAGTAAAGGAATTCCGTCTATTTCACGAAACTGAAATTATACATGTGCATCTTTGTTCCTTGTTTTCAAGCGTCGTACGAATAATTAATGAAACGAAACATATTTCTGAGCCGGCAACGATATATTACACAAGGTGACCAGTGAAAAAAATTATCTACATTCTACCATCGTGACGAGCAATATATGTCTTTGTCAGCCTTGACACTGAAAAGCTGAATTAATATTCCGCTCTCAGGTTTCCGCTCTGATTCATCATAACTAATTTACCTGTCGATACGAGCGCGACACAAACTTTATCATCTCGTGAATTCGCTAAATTTGCAACGCGTATCAGATTCCGATTACTTTGCTACAACTCGCAGTTAAACGGGATACTTAATTTCGCTTTGTCTGACGCGACAGGACGCGTACTACTGCGTATCTTTTGTTCGCGCATTTCGTATCACTCACGCGGAGATGTAATCGGTAGGAGAAGAGGTATCGATTTTCTGTTGCGTGCAGCTCGTAACAAAGGCACATTTACATTTCGCAATTATATCCAGATTTCTTACATTCAACAATAATTTGTCGTATCATAAAGGACATCGGAAAATGTCCCAAGCATTGGTTATTAATTATAAATATAAGTTGCTGCGACAAGTCATATGTCAGATGATCAAAGAATTATCGCGAAAAATTAAGAAATGCAAATAGTACAATGTAATAAAATGATATTAATTCAATGTATGTCGCGTATTTTTACAAATAAATATTTTTTTTTTAACTAATGTATCGACCACCGTTCAGTCCCGCATTTTAATGCTTGTCGTGACCACACGAAGTCATGAGGCGTACTTTGACGGTTCGCTCGAACCAAGAGTTTAAGATCAATAAGGAATGGTCTTTATCGACGTCGGGTACATCGATACTAGAACAATTTTACATTTGCTTTCTTTTTGAAAATTTGAATATTCAATATTTAATTTTAAAGATGTATGTACAATTGTTACTTACCAAATCTTGACACATTTTGTTTCTGTATACCATATTTCCGATAACTTTTATTAGTCCTGATTTAAAACCATATGCAGGATGATCCTGTGGATCGGGATTTGTAGTTTCTTCAGATATATCGACATTATTTATCCCGGTATTTATATTCATTGCTCTCCTCTGGGCATTAGGTGCCACTTGACTTAGATTCGTTATTGGAGTAAAATAATTGTTTGATTCTTTCCCCATCATGTGTAAGGACATCAAGAGATCTGCAAATGTGCTATATTATATCGCTCTTGTACCGGATTAATGTATAATGCAGGAAAAAATAATGCACTTACATTTACAATTAATAATCAAAGATTTAGCATTTTCCGAAATTCTGTACGGCGTTAATGTAAGAGGTCCCAAAATGTCGAGTATAAGAATAACTTCTGTGGGATCTATACTGTTTACATATGTATCTACAGTTTTTAAAATGAGATCACTTTTCTTGCAAAACGTTAGTGCTAGAAATTCAGCTGTATCATTTGTGAACACTAGCATAGTTTGAGACGTAGATTGATGAAGTTCGTCGTAAATTATCCGAAGTAAATCTAATTTTTCATTCATAGCTATATCATTATAAATAGCTTCACACGCGTTAGGGCGATGTAATATATGTAACAATGCATCTCTTGCAGATGTAAAACCTTCTTTGATTGGTTTTAGCAATTGAATACACAGATGATTCTTTTCATCATCTGTGAAATAATATTCTTGTAATTCTTTTAGTGCATTATGCACAAATATGCAAGCCGCACTGGCAAGAGGTTTATGGTCAGACTGAATGCTGTTTCTAAAAATAATTGAAGCTGTTAACATAAAGATAGACATGCATGAACAGTATTAACTGTTTGCATGCAATTATATGTATAAACTTACATAACAGCTTGCTTCAAATTATCACAATTTAAATATTGTAGAATATTCTCATTCTCCACGGAAGTTACATTTTTACATGCATATGTAAATAAATTGCATAAAAATTGTATACTGAGCCTGAAGATATCTATTTCATTATCGGTCAAACAACTTGTGGATTTATCACAAATGTTAATATAATTTATAGTCCACTCTATGATTCCATCATAAGGAAAGTAAGAACCATGTGGATAATCACAATCCTGGCCATATTGGCATACATTTTCAGCTAGCTTATGATACAAGTATTTATATTTATCAGGTTCTTTGTTTGCTAATGTGTGTTGTTTATATTTATAACTATCGAGGCAGGAGTTTCCCAAACATTTCAAACACAAAATTTTAACCATATCGGGACTGGTTTCATTGATAAGTGTCCAACATATTTGTGCTAAAACAGCCGCATTAGGTGGTTCCCTGAAACGTTACGATCAACTTATAAAATTATCCTTCAATTACACTGACTAAATACACTGACAAACTATTATATTATACATACCCTGTATTCTGCTTGACAAAGTGCTTTGGTTTGACAAGTTCTAACAGTTGATCCCAATTTTCCTCATTTGTAATCAAATTTAATTGCTGTATATCGACAACAGACATTTTTCAAAAAAATTACCCCTATGACACTCACAACAGCTTACCTTTGCCACTACGTGCACATGTGAAATGTCATCCATGACATTTGCACTAGGGTAGAGGGAGCGGTAATAAATGAATTTGGTTGGCATCATACGCCAGCCAGTCACTGTCCGTTATTTCGCGACCGAGACTCATTGGCCGTGTTCAGTAGAACAAGGTGATCAGAGAGCACTTAGTGATTATTGTCTGTGATTGGAGCATTCTTTTAGATTCTTCATAGACCCAGAATTATTTACCAATCAGGAGCGAAATTCAGTGGAAAATCTAGTAATGTTGTCCAACTGTTGAGTCTGCTGAATGCAGCCATGGTGTCTGTCATTTTCTCTGCACTTTCTACACTTTTAATTTTCCTCTTCCCTTTTTTCGGTCAAACTTCAAATATATACTTATTTCGTTAAAAAGTGACGTGTGGACAAAGCCTCAGGGTTTTTAATAGTTACATATAATGTAACACAACATAACAATTTATTTCGTTGTAATTATGGAAAGTGCTAACTAATGCATCTAAAAAGAACAGACTATCTATTTTATTACGTTACGTCCTGAGATACCCCCAAACATTACGCTACTGATATTGCGTCCCCGCCATTACATTTAACTGTTCGCAATTTTCCGTGACTGGCGTTTGTAACAAGTCGGTACTTCGTACTGTTGTGCCCGTGACTAGTAAAAAAAGGAAAGCATTTAGAAGGTAACTAAAGTTTAATTCGACATTGTAATATAAAAATATTATATTTGTTACGATGATAGGTTTCATTTATGAAACTTTCGGTTTCATTTTGCCGTGTCATTCTTGGTTAAACGATATTACGTTCATTACTTTGTCAGTTTAAATTTATATTTGTTTCTACTAATGTTATGATCTACTGATACAGGTCATAATTGCGTACAGTTTGCGAATATTTCGTACCATCGTAATGTTACGGGATTTGTTGACGTTGTGTATAATTCCGCATAACCTCAAATTTGTTTTCTTTGACATTATATTGAGCATTTGTTCATTTCTACTTTCAGATGTTTCTGACACGTTCGGAGTACGATCGTGGTGTGAACACTTTCTCGCCGGAAGGAAGATTATTTCAAGTGGAATATGCTATAGAAGCTATAAAACTTGGCTCCACTGCCATCGGAATTGCAACAACGGAAGGAGTAGTTCTGGCAGTGGAGAAACGCATTACCTCTACTTTAATGGAGCCGACAACCGTAGAAAAAATTGTAGAAATCGACAAACATATAGGATGTGCAGCTTCTGGTCTGATGGCAGATTCGCGGACAATGATTGATAGAGCCCGAGTTGAATGTCAGAATCATTGGTTTGTTTACAACGAAAAAATGACGGTGGAATCAACCGCTCAAGCTGTATCCAATTTAGCCATACAATTTGGAGATAGCGATGACGATGGTACTGCTATGTCTAGACCATTTGGTGTAGCGATGTTATTTGCTGGCATTGACGAGAAAGGTCCACAATTGTATCATATGGATCCATCTGGTACTTTTGTTCAGTTTGATGCCAAGGCTATAGGATCTGGTAGTGAAGGTGCTCAACAAAATCTTCAAGAAGTATACCATAAGGTAATTTAATCTCATACTAGATATAAGTAAGTTGTATATATTTATCTAAACATTGTGTACTATTATAATATTGTTATTGCAGTCTATGACACTTAAGGAAGCGCTGAAATCTGCGCTGACAATATTGAAGCAAGTGATGGAAGAAAAACTCAACGACACCAATATTGAAGTGATGACAATGACACCTGAGCAACTGTTTCACATGTTTGCTAAAGCTGAATTACAAGAGGTGATTAAAGATATTGCTTAAGAGTTTATTACATTTTTATGAATTACTGCGAGCATTTTCACTATACCGAATCGCGACAGGAATGAATGGATTTCTCATATGGGACAGCATAATTGTAAATTATACCTCCACTTTACACAGGACAAGTTCTTTATTCCTGTTATATTTAACAGTACAATTTACCTTCTTTAGAGAAAGAATATTAAAACACAAGAAATCATTAGCGTGAATTAATAAATTCTCCTATAATGCTTCCCTACAACCTTTCATATCACTTCCTTCATACATGTACATATATTTTTTAGTTTATATATATATATATAAACTTAAAAAAAAACATATAACTCCAAAACGATTCTTTTGCTTAATATAAAATTGATTTTGCAAAATAATTTTCCGAATTTTGTTTTGTAATTCAGCTGATAGACTACGGCGTCGGTTCGGAGGAAGATCTCGCGAAATCGACAGCCGGTAACACCTTTCCAATATCCCAGCCCACTACTTCTCTTAACGGATAAATAGCACAACAGAAACTCCAGCACACATCTCCAGGTACTTTCCTTCCTTCCTACATATATATATTCCCACGAAATTATTCTCCGTTTATTCTCCTGGCCATAGTGTCGGAACACGAAATGAAACTTCAATTCAAAATTGCAAATATTTATGGAAACATGCGTGACAAAATAATATTTGATTTAGTGTACCGGTATTTGCATCTCGGTTTATTCGTTAATCGGTAGAGGATAAATCGTCGAATATATATTTTTCGTCTTCATTGCGTTACGTCGAATACCTCAAACAGTCACGTGGAAAGAGTTATAATGAATAATCAGATACGGAGGCTTCTCGCCACAACGGTGAAGGTACAACACAGGCATTTCCAGACCGCTTCGTTGTACAATTCGTAGCGGTCGGAAATGGGTGCGACGGATGGCTCGTTTTCGATTAAAAGCGTCCGCCGGCTGAATGCGCGTATCCGAAATCAATAATTAATTTTGCCGGCTAGCCGAGAACGGGCGAAAGCGAGCTTGGCGGAAATAGTCGGATACCGCTTGGATGCTGCGATGCCTCGATAAAACGTCCCTTTTTATCCCGTTCTCTCGGCTGCCAGATTATTGGATATTATTCCATTTCAAGCGTTCAATCCCGGTACGATTCGCTCGCTTGGATTCCCACGGGGGTTTCCTCGTCGCCTATTGATTGCACGTTACTCTTAAAAAATATATATATACATATATATATATATATATTTATACACGTGTGTATGTGTGTACAAAATCTCTATATACGATGTTGTACGAAAATGTACGCGGGTATACACTTCGTCGCGCGTTGTGTCAACCACATTTTGTACGAATAAATTGCATAAATCGAAACCATTAATCGCATAAAAAAGAAATATATATATGTGTGTGTGTGTGTGTGTGTGTGTGTGTGTGTGTGTATATCAGATATTTGTAGTTTTTTTCTCGCGGCGTTATAAAACGTTTCAAGTAAGACGTGGATTCCTCAGTCTCTTTTGAGATACGCTTAATAGAAAGCAGAGAAAGTCTAGCTAACAATAATTGGTAGAAATTTTTATCACGATTCGAGAACGATTACGACAGTTCTAATCCTAGATAAATTGACATCAAGGATATGTTACATTTTCGGCGAACAGAAATCACAATCTCTCTTTCATTTCGCACGGATGGATGTGATTAGAAGAAAAAAAGTTGCTTCCGCAGTCGCATAACACAGTTCAATCATCATGACGAACGCGATATTTCGTGCTGCTCTCATGTAACTTTCTCAAAAAAATAAAAAAAATATTCTAGAGAAGATTCTAGAGAACAGCACGAAACGACACGGTCGTGAATTATCGAGGATGAATCGCTCGACAGCAGCTATGAAGCGGCGACATAGGTTCGAGAGGAGGGCCGTTAAGGAGGGGTTAAGGGAAACGGGGCGAGAAAGAGAGGCTGATTCGAGCGCGCGGCCGAGAAGGACTGGTAATTAACTGCGATGAGAGAGAGGAGGCGGGATAGTCCCGTTTGAGTCCCTGAGAATCCCCGGGGACCTGACCCGTCGTATCAGACGCCAAACACTCACTCCCACACACCGGCGAAGCCCGTCCTCGAAGCGCTGGCACGTTCAAGTTTTGCTACGATAATTGCCTTCGCTTCACAGTCGCGCCACCGACACCCGCAGCGACGGATAAGAGGCCGCCCCAGCTCCCGCGAACAAACGTGGAACGGGGTTGGAAGTAGATAATGGCGCAGAAATTTCTAGTTTACGCGATTGGTCTCCCCTTTTGTCACGGGAGAGCCGTAAAGCGGCAACTCTCAGCAGGAGGACGACGCTTCGCTCCCGATAAAAATATTAAAGCAAAGTACACTTTGCGAGAATAATTTTCTCGAGCAATGTAACGCAAAGAAGATGCGACTCCTCGTGGAGACGATTACGGTGAAGACTGTAGAGTGTAAGATATAATTTTGCACAAACACGAGAAAATATATCTCATTCTCCCTTTCGTGTAATTCTAACGCGCACGCACACGCACACTTGCAGCGAGGCGCTCGCGGTTTACCTCGCTAGCTCTATTAAATACTTTTTCACGCGTAAGAATACTATCTATTTATAGAAAATAGACGCGGTTTTTGGACTTTCGTGGACACACATACACACACACACGGCGTAATTGCTAATCCGTTCACACTCCTATGTTATTACGAAACAGTGATTATGCAAATCGCACCGGAAATAAAAGCGCGTACATCCTTCGGTGGAGACGAGCGAAAGATACGAGGTGCGAGGAGGCAAGCTGTTTGGCGTCGTGCACACGCGGTGGCGGGAAACTTTCTTCCTTATTATTACCGCAGCGCCGATAGAAAAGCGGAAGTGCACGCGGCATCTCGGCGTAGGAAAGAGCTGATATACCTGCTCGGCTATAATTCACGCATCGCAGAATCGTCGTCATTTTTTTCACTTTCACGGGGAGCCGGTCGTTCGCCCAACGCGAGCGTGCACAGTCTCCTTGCGCTGAGTCGCGGCACACACACGCGCACGCACACGCACACAAGTGCGATCTCGCGCCAACGCGACGTTCTCTGAGAGTTTTGCGATCATTACCAGGACCACTAACTAATGTCAGGTCGTTACGTTACGTTCCAATAATGCGCCATCTAAGCACCGTCCGATATGAAAAAGTGCTCTTAACGACGAGGAGGGAAGGGATTTTGCGGCAATCCTCCGAGTATTGCGTCATTATCGATTTCACTCGTGTTCGATAATACGGCCGCGAGTCGTATTATCCGAGCCGTGCGGGTTTTTTTGTCGCGCGTATAAACAGACGCGGAACCGAGATTTTATTAGCGGCCTAAACGAGCCTCCGAGAAGCGGCGAAAGAGCCAGCAGCAGCAGAACGGTCCGCCGGACTTTCGACAGGGGGCCGCGCGCAAACGTACACATTTTAATCTTCATTCGTATTTCATTGCGCCGTGGATTTCAATTACGCCGCGGCGAATGATAACATCGATGGCGAGATACTTGGCTAAAGCCGGCTGTCCGTCCTGTGTAACGAAATAGGAAACCCCGTTCGCGTTAATGCGGCCGGCCTAATTTCGTCGGAAATATTTTATCCTTCATACGTAAGCGAATAATCCGCTATCGAGCTCAGCGAGCCGAACTGTGATTGCAGAGATTGAGGCGAATTTTTATTTCAACGGGCTACGAATATTAATCTGACGTTCGCCCGACGTTCGTTTAAACTCCCCGGTCTCCATCGAGCGCCGCCGGGAAAATCGCCAATTGGCTTTTCAATCGGGCTGGATCGGCGTGATCCAAATTGCCGATAGATAGAATCTACAGGTGAAAGGAGCGGCGATAGTTCTGCGACGCCTCGCAGATATGCGTCGGAGTATGACGTTTACGTGTGCGCGCGCGCGCGCGGCTGGCAAGAGCGACGGAGAAAGTAATGCTTTCCTGAACGCGTCGTATCTGCTGCTCTTAATTGCGGCCAGGCATAAAGATTAAGATTCGCTCAGGAATCGAAAGTACTCGCGGAAGTTTAACCCGCTCAGTCCCGAGCGGAACTCATCTGTGTCTCCTTCTCCCTCTCTCCCTCATGCGCTTTTTTCACGCGCGTGATTTTTGCGTTTTTGCGACCGCCGAGCGACATCCGGAAACGACGACGACGACGACTGACAGCTTAACGATCTCTCTCGGGGGTCCGTGTCAATAATACTATCCGGTTTCTACCGTGTTAGCCAGACCGGAAGGCGAACGCGGTAAAGTGTAATCTATCTTTTTTCGCGCAAGCGCGCGAGAATCTCTCGATCTCGTAGTTTTCAACCGAAATCTCAGCGTCCGTTTTCGTCGCGTCGCGTCGAAAACAGCTCGCCTTCGTCGGTGTGCGAGGCGCGAGCGAAAACGTGCGTTTTCTCGCCGAGGGCAGCAACGAATTCAGACGAGTGAAACTCTGCGCTCGTCTAGCGGTCGACGAAATTTTCTCGTGAAAGTGAATCTCGACGTTGATTTATACTCACGTCGTTACGTCGCGCCGTCATGAATCTGCGCGAGCGTGCAAGCACGGCCGCTCGCGCGCTAATCCTCGCGTTACTTCGCGCGTAGCCGTAGCCCGATCGGGTTGGAAGATGCCTCTTGGAAACATCGCGTTTCGCGGGATGAGGGACAATCGAAAGAAAGGCGTAATCGTAGACATGAGTATATTTATTAAGTCTTCGATACAATAAAACAGAGACGTACTTTTTCCGTAATGATGATACGTTTCACTTAACTTATTTAGGTACAATGTTTTTCAGTATGGTGAACATACCTCTCACAGTAATACTACGCTTGAACGTAACGGGTTCGCGCGAACGTTAAGCCAAAACGTCCGCCGAGAGTCATTTGTTCGTGCTTGTATCTTTTCGTTTATTTTCTTTGGAATATATATATGGAAATATATGGAAACGGTATACACAGGATATATTCTCTTATAGGCTTCGAACGTACTACTTTATTGATGCGCGCGATTAAATTGTCCCTTGGAACAAGCGATCCCATCTTTGCATATTGCAACACGAGTGATACGCAACCCGAGAATATTTCTATCGAGATATTCGCTACGTATTTACATATACGTCTACATCTTTCTCTTTCTCTCTGCCTAGATTTTCAGAAATATAAGAGAAAATTATACGCGTCGGCGAAATCGTCGATCGTGATAGCTAAATACACGTCACCCGTATGTCCCTCCCTCCCCCCTCCCGCCCCCCCTCCCGCCAGTATTCTAGTCTCGGTCGAGGACTACCGCTGAAGCCGCGAAAATTTCATCGTGCAGCTTCCCGATTGACGTTCGATGAAGCGCGCGGTTTCGGCTGTAATAAAGTACCATCCCGATTCGGAAATAAGCTCGTGCGCGCGATTACGTCGACGTTGGCGCGGAGGCGGACGTGCCATCTCTCGCGACATCCGGGACGGACCCGCGCGTTTCGCGAGGAATGGCGTCTCATCAACCGTGAATCGAATGCGAGAAATCGTAACCGCCGCCGCCGCCGCCGCCACCGGAGTGCACATCAAAGCCGCCGCCACCGCCGCCACCGGAGTGCACATCAAAGCCGCCGCCACCGCCGCCACCGGAGTGCAGATCAAAGCCGCCTTCGTCGCCGCCGTGACCGCCGCCGAAACCGCCGCCGAAACCGCCGCCGAAGCCGCCGCCGAAGCCGCCGCCGTGTTCGTCGTGCTTGATGTGCACCGGAACAGGGACCGGCACCTTCACCGGTACCGGCACTTCCTTCTCAACCGGGACCGGCACCTCCTTCTCGACGATGTAGGGCTTGTCGACCGGCACCTTCACCGGCACTGGCACCGGCTTCGGCACCGGCACCGGCACCGGCTTATGCACGTGGTACGGTTGCGGAATTGGGACTTTGATCGGTACCGGGTAGGGTTTCTCCACCGGCACTGGGTACGGTTTGTCGACCGGCACCTTCACCTCGTACGGTATCGGCTTCTCCACCGGCACCGGGTATGGCTTCTCCACGGTGACCGGGTACGGCTTCGGCACCGCCACCGGGTACGGCTTGTCGACCGGTACCTTCACCTCGTACGGCACCGGCTTCTCCACCGCGTAGGGCTGCGGCACCGGCACCTTCACCTTCACCGGGAAGGGCACGTGCTTCTCGACCGTGTAAGGCTGCGGCACCGGCACCTTCACCGGCACCGGTATGTGCTTCTCCACGGTGTAGGGCTGCGGCACGTATACCTTGACCTCGTAGGGCTTGTCAACCGGCACCTTCACCTCGTACGGCACCTTCTTCTCCACGGTGTACGGCTGCGGCACGTGCACCGGCACTTTGACGAACACCTTCACCGGGTAGGGCACGTGTTTCTCCACGGTGTAGGGCTGCGGCACGCCGACCTTCACTTCGTAGGGCACGTGCTTCTCCACCAGGTAGGGCACGTGCTTCGTTACTTCGTACGGTACCGGCACTTTCTTCACGACCGTCACAGTCTTCACGTGCTCGTGATGATCGTAGCCACCGCCGCCGCCGCCGCCGCCGCCGCCACCGCCGCCACCACCCCCGAAGTCACCGTAACTGTGTTGCAGCCCGCGTTTCTCCGTCTTCTTCTCCGTCAGGTCCGCCTCGACATTTCGATCGAGCGAGCTCGCGTCGTTCGCTTCGCTCGATTCTCTCGCGCATAGAACCTGGCTGGCCAGAGCCACCGAAAGGATGACGATCTGAAATCGCGTCAGAGATACTTTCTTCATTTTCCCGTTACGCGATTTTGGGTCAAGATTTCATACGGAGGCTAACGACGACGAGCAAACGACGGTAAAAATATATCGAGTCGCTCGACGCTACGTAATATAGGGGTAATCCAGATATCTCGCGATATTTTTCTTTTCTTGTTTCGGGGACGAGACCGAGCGCGATGTGTTGTGTGTCACTCTCTGTATCTCGCGTGCGTAAAGAGATTTATTTCGTAATCACGACGCACGCTCGCGCTCTACTGCCGCATGTCGAAGTGAAATTGCACCTGATATCCGGGTACCGATCGATACCGACTTACCTTAATATTCATTCTCGAGTTCGCGTATGTTTGAAGCGTGGCGTATGACCACTAACTGAACCGCTTCGTTTTCTAGACCGAGCCTTATATACCTCGCGCTATAATAGCTTGGCACTTTCCCTGCACCTCATCGCTTACATTATACGTACTCGTGGCTCGCGTTACATTGGCAAAAAAGCTGCCTGGGCGAGTCCAGGAAACGGACACACCTGCAACGTTGCCTCGTGACGGTCTAAAGTTCGGCAACTGTTACTGAATTCGCACTGTTTAATACGCATATACAACATATACACGATCGACGATCCCTGTCGCGCGCAGCGTCAACTTTCTTTTTCGACGCACGATCGCAGCCGTAGGCACATACATACGCACGTACGTACGCACGAAGCTTGCATAAACTGCGTTGCGTTTCCACAAGATGCGTATCCTTTTTCCCTTTTCTCATCTGATCTAATATTTTTATTCTCACATTTGGGTGATTATTATTATTTTTCGAAATTTGGCGAAATTTGCGCAGACTCGTTTGTTTCTCCAAGACGCGGTTTGTTTTACTTCAGACACACATCTCATTGTTAATTATAATTAAGAATAATTACACGTCGAACATTCGGCATGCGCATATGGAAAATATATGAAGTATTCCGTAGTCAGTTGCAACATTGCACTGTGTGCGATCATTGTTTCCTACCTACATATGTACGTAGACACAAGTCGACTGCGCGTGAAATAATACAAGTCAAAATTCTATGTTATCGTGACATGAGCAATTGGCGGCGAGGTAAATGGAGGAAGTTAACGTACGCGGAATTATAACCGTGCATCACCACCGTGATTTCCGTGATCTCCTTATCGCAAAAATCGGAGGCTACCATGTGCGACGCGTCCGCTAGAGGCTAAACTGGCGCACACACGTATCCTTATGCCTGCAGTACATTTTTTCACGCTTGACCAGCGGTGAGAGCTTGTGACGCCAAACGAGAGTTACAGCTTCACGGAAATGACTTCTCCGGTCGTATTTTCGTGCTAAATCGTTTCGTACATATCGACAAATTCAATTAATCGCTCGTCACGTACGCCGATGGTATTTGCGTTATCCCGTCACGCACCGTTAGACGTTACCGCGTGGTCAATAATCGTTTGTACGTTAACTAGCATCGTGTGTTACTTTAAACCGTCGTGATTTCTTCGAAACAAGACAAAGTGATACGCGTTTCTCATGCGTCTCTTTTTACGATGCGGCACTTTATTCCGCAATTATTATGCTATCCGAAATACACCGGGAACTTGCCATGAGCCTCTGCTCATGAGAATGTGCCAGTCCTATTTTAGAATTATTTTTAGAAAACGAATATTTTTGGAGATATTAAACATTTGATTATCTCAATATTCTACAATTATACATTACACATTTATTTTCTGCATTATACATTATACATTTATTTCAATTTTAATTTTATTATTCTTCCTTCCTATTTTGTAATTAATCGTGTAAATTATTCCAGTCCGAATGGAATATCTCAGATGAGCAAATATTAAACAATTCATATATGCAAATTATATAATAATTAGTGAGTAAAACAAACTTTCTTCTTTCATATTATGTTTTCTCTTTATTATATTTTTTATTAACGTTAAAGATATTTATAGGATTTGAATATTTAATTGGGGGTAAAAAGGCAGGAGAAACAAAAGAGGGAAGAAATAATAAAATAGCAGTTGCGTGCGTGTCCAATAATGCTACGTACCGATATTTCATCAGGACGTGAATTGTGCTCAGTGATTCGCAATGTTCTGAAAGTGCCTGAATCGAAATTTAAAAGTCGCACTTTTGCTCATCGGAGCTTTCGTAATATTCATTTGTTTTTTAATAATGCTTCTTGAACCTTCCTTACTTCTTCTGTTTAGCCTTGTTATTAAACTGAAGCTGACTTGCAACTTTTCTTGATACATAGTATTAGTGAACACAAACTGCTGTCTTTACTTTCTTCTTTTCTCCTTTCCTCTTTCTTTCGATTCTTTAAATTCTATCGCAATAAAAAAATAAATAAAGAGATGAGAAGAATGTACCCTTTTACTATATTTTTGCTTATTATTTCTTTTTTATTGGGACTATTCAATTAATAATTATAATATTATTCAAGTATTTGCTTCTCGGACGTAATATTTATTTGCAGTGCAATAAACTACATGATTTACTGAAATTAAAAATAAAGATTGCATACAGACGTTGAGATATCATCAAAAATTAAATACTTTTAAATATTCATTTTTGTAAAAAAAAAAAAAAAAGAATACTTATGGAATTTGGAGTGATTTAGTGCTCAGCTGTTCTCTGAAAAGTCTCTTCGCAAACTCTTCGATATTTAAAAAACGACGGATAAAAAACGACGGATGATATAAAACGTAAGCGTCACGACAAAACAATAGCCAGAGAGAAAGTATAGCGTGATGTCTCGAGACCTTTTGTCGAAAATCCGACTTGGAATTTGCAAGATTAATGCGGAATAAAAGTCTCGACCTCTCGGCTGACCTCGCGTGCTCGCCGAGACATGGTATTGGCGTCATCGTCATCAGCGCGTTATCTTTCAGTGCCACTTGTTTCAGGCGCAAATCGGGCATTCCGCGCTAACCGTATCGACGTCGCGCGAGGGTGCCCATTACGCGTGTGTAATTACGCGTAGAAATCCAAGTAAAGCTGTGCGAACGTGCGCTTAGTGCTAAGCGAGCTTCGCATGCGGAATACCTAATGCCGTATGTTAATACGGTCGCATGCGCGCCGCACATTTCGATCCCGGATCGAGATAGACCGTAATTTTTAACGATTAATCGCCGCTCAAGCATCCGCGAGGGTCGGCTGGTGGCCCGCCTCGAAGCGAATACTCGTTATACAGACCTGCCTCGTTATTCCGTGTCCTTACCGATAAATATTACGGTAAAGATGATAAATGTATCCCGCGTCCAAGCGACACCGTTATTCATCCAGCCACCCTCGATCGGCGGCCGACGCGCAGCGTCGCGTTAATTCGCGCAGTCGGCATTGACCGACGCGCCGGAGAAGCTCGCACGCGCGAGCGCGGATTTATGTTGCGCGGTCGATGTCGCAAAGTACGGGAGCGTCAGCGTCTGCGACGATGTGACCTACGACGAGGACGAAACGTCCGGGAGGACACCGTGTGTCGAGCGCGCGACGGTGCTCCCGCGGTCGCGTCCCACTTTGAAAAGTCTCTCGCTTTACGTACGCAGTCATGGTCGTTCAGCGTCGTCCCTTTCGTATCGGGAATATGCGTAATACCGTTGGCTTAATGGACCGGTCGGTCGGTCGGTCGGTTATTCGGATAAGTATTGGCGGAATGAAGGTAAAGCTGAAATTTCACGATAACAGCTGATGGATGAATATTTCTGTCAACGTGCATGACGTCGTTATTTCAACGCGACGAATCCGTCGGATTTCGATGAAGGTTTCGTCGGATATCTCGTTTAATACGACCGGATAAGCTCTACGCTAGCGTATCGCGTCCACCACGGTTATCTCTTGCGCGTAATTATCTCATCGAGAGACGTTCACCTCCCCCCCCCCCCCCCCCGCAGTCCCCCTCACTCTGCCTCTCTTTCTCTCCCTCGCAATTGTTATACATACAAGATGCACGCCGGCAGTCCAGTACACACAGTACAGTAGTGTGTCTCTCGATGAGACCCGTGGCAGAACGCCGCAATAATAAGCCCGTGTTCTCTCGGGCATCTCTTCCAGAGTAGTACTCGCTACCGGCGTGCAAATCACTCGGTAGCGATGGCCGCCGCCGGGCGTTTCGCGGCTTTTAATTGACGACGGATGAAATGAAGTATCATGCCGTGCATTATAATTGGAAACTTTTATGTTGCGTGCGCGCCGGCCGGGCCTACCGAGGCGTGAATCCGAGAGGAGCGTGCGTTTCTCTCTCTACGACGCGCTTCGTACTCCCTCCTCCCTCCTTTTCTTTCTTTTTCGCGCATTCGAACGGTGGTTGCGCGTCCTTCGAAAAAATGCGCGCGCGATCGCGTGAATCCGACGAGCGCGTTTCTTACTTTCGCGCGAACGCAGTGTCCTTCCTGCCGGAAGTTCTTGTCTCATTAATTGTTAACCGATCATCAATAACAAGTAAGCGAGCGGACGACAGGCGATGGCGCGTCATGCATGTTCCCCCGAGGTCTCTCCTCCTCCTCTCGGCGCGGCTCCGATCGATACGAGAGAACTCCGCCATCCGCTCCGATCGTCATCCGTATGGTAACACGCGTCCCTAACGAAGCGTTTGCTGGAAAAGTGAAAGGATACACGGCGCGCGACTTTCCCCAAAATTTTACGACACGCCGCCCGGCGGCGGCGACGGCGGTTGTCGACGCGCGAGCGCATTTGCTGCACGCTTAATGTTCCACCGGCACGAACTCCGTGAATTCGGCGGAGGAAGCAGCGTGTGACTGAATCCCGCGCGTAATCACGGCGCTTGGTTGCGGCGGCCGCGCGTTGTTAATCATCTTTTTCGGACTGTCGCGGGGATGTCGGGTCGGAAGCTGCGCGTCGAGAGTAACATCTGCTGCCTGCGTGTCTCCGAAGCGGGTTTGTACGATTTTCGATCGGCGGGATAACGGCTCACGATTTGAGAAAGAGAGAAAGAGAGAGGAAGTATAGTACACATCCGGCCAATCGCGTGTCAGGAGAAATGCCTCCTTGTCTTCCGCCGGTGGCGGTACTGCAATCCGTAGCATCCGTTCTCGATTATCCTGCGCGGGGATAACGCGGCTATGTACAATCGCCGAAACTCACGAGCGTTGCGCTAACGCAGACTGGCCGATTACAATAATCGGCACTTTTACGCGCTCGCGCGATGTAAACGCGTGAACACCGCCGGCCGCCGGCTCGCCTCTGACGATTACGTTACAAATGTAATCCTCGGGACGGCGCGCGAACGCGCGCGCTCTCGGCCATTAGAGTGAGCGCGGTTGCACTCGTCGGTCCGACGCGGAAGTAAAAGACGCCGGCGCGCGGAATGGTAATTAAACGGCTTACGGTCGTCCGGCCGACTGCGCTCTCTCTCTCTCTCTCTCTCTCTGTGACGTTTGCCGGTCTCTAACATCCCCGGCCGAGGATCGAATTAGGGAAAATTGAGCGGTGCGACGAACTGCCCCTGGCGAGCCGTCATGAAAAGCGTGCCGCAC